ACGGGAGGTGAACTGACAACCTTGCTGACTGGTTCTCAGAGCCTGGCCTGTATGGCGGACACACTGGTCTTCTGCCAATCTCAGGAGCATCCTAAGATCCACAGCAGCCTCTGTGCACACAACCTCGTCCTCCTTCCGGGTAACTGGCTTCGGATCCCTCGAAGTAGAATGCCAGGCCAAAGGTCACTGGTGTGTTTTTCCAGCGTCCAGACACACACACTGTGCCATCTTCCCAGCTCACCGTGCCCCCCTCCCCCAGCCGGAGTCAACAGCCGTTTCCTAGTATCCGGGGTGGAGGCTCTTCCCGGGACTCCTCCTCTTGCCTCACCCGGGCTCTCACCGTGGGTCTCACATGCCCAGGGGGGAAAGGGGCGCTCCTCATCTTCGGGGTGGGAAACGGGGCCCTGACCCAGGGATGGCTGGGAGGGGCTCTCTCTAACATGAAGCCCCAAGCAGGACCTACCGGGGAGGGAGCACCCCCAAATGCTCCCCGACTCCCCCAGGGAGAGCTCGCGGCGTGGCAGGAACCCAGTGGGGTCACAGCTGCAGCGAACACGTTCCCGCCGTGTTTGCCTTTAGGTCTCATTGTCCCGCCGTGTTTGCCTGTAGGTCTCATTGTCTGTTTGTTCCCGCCGTGTTTGCCTGTAGGTCTCATTGTCTGTTTGTTCCCGCCGTGTTTGCCTGTAGGTCTCATTGTCTGTTTGTTCCCGCCGTGTTTGCCTGTAGGTCTCATTGTCTGTTTGTTCCCGCCGTGTTTGCCTGTAGGTCTCATTGTCTGTTTGTTCCCGCCGTGTTTGCCTGTAGGTCTCATTGTCTCTTCGTTCCCGCCGTGTTTGCCTGTAGGTCTCATTGTCTGTTTGTTCCCGCCGTGTTTGCCTGTAGGTCTCATTGTCTGTTTGTTCCCGCCGTGTTTGCCTGTAGACTCTGGTTGGTTCTCAGAAGCGGAGGTCCGTGGGGTCGCCTCCCTGAACTTTTCCCGCGGGTCCCCTTCTGAAGCTGAAGCTTGGCCACTGCCTTCACCCTCCATCCAGGCGACGAAGCAGCATCCATCCTGTTCCGATTTCTTGTCCAAATTCTGTACTGCGCTCGCGCCCACGCTGGCGGGCAGGACGAGAGGACCGCCCCCTCACCCCCACCCGGTTGACGGGCTCTCCCAGGCCTGTTCATGGCGGGTCTTCCCTTCTGCCTGGTCTGGCGGCCACTCCCGCGCAGGGAAGACCCCTTGGGGGTACTGGGGTCTGTTTCTGCTCCCCTCCCCATCAGCTCCGAGGATCTGCTGGTTGGCCAGCACCTCACGCCTCCTGGAACTCGCCAGCCTGCTTATCGTCGCAGACGTGACCTCCTCACTCGTTTCCTCCGAGTGAGCCCTGGGATCCTTTCTTCCAAGTTTGCTTGGACGATGAGAACTCCTCACCCGAAGACCCACTTGTGAGGAAGGGAGTCACGCCCACCCAGGACTCATACGGAGGCCGGTACTGCGTCTCTGCTCACAACCAGGTCATGCGGACACTGAGCGCGCCCACCACAAGGCCGGCACCCCCGAGGCCCACAGGGGAGGGGCGCGCTCCAGACGCCCCGCTCCGGGCCTCGCTGGGCGGGCCTGTCACTCTGACACACAGGCCCCTGCAGGTCTCCTGCCCGCTCTCCAGTCCCTGGCCACCCAATCCGCACCCAACGGGCATGGGAAGTCCTCTTGCCAGTGACAAGCAAACCAGACCCCTTTGGGACACCTACTCAGAAGACAAGCAACTCTCCAATCTAACTTAAGGCATCCACGTCTAAACCGTACTGCCGCATGTGGCGAGGAAACATACAGATGTCCAGTGAAACCTGAATTCCAGATAAACAGCTACTAATTGGGGGCGGG